TTATAAAAAAATACTTTCCTGGGGTTTTTGAGAAACTCCTCATGGCGAGGAGCGGAGATAGACAATAAGGGGGGGGGGGGAGGGAGAAGAGGAAGGACGAGTACTCGACCGCTCTATGCAGAACGCTCATAGGTGAGGGGGGGGGAGGAAACGCTCATGGATGAGGTGGGGGGGAGGAAGGGTGAGGACTACGACGAGATAGTGGAGGAAACGCTCATGGGTGAGGGGAGAGGTGAGGGGAGAAAAAGGAAGGATGTGGTGAGGGGACTGGGGGGGGGGGTAAAGGAGGGTGGATATGGTGAGGCTCGTTTATTTGCCACAGTCGGTTGTAATGTTAATCTAATGAAAACTGAGGTTTCTTTTAAAGTACCTCCAGCATTGGGCAGGCAGGCCGTTATAGTGTGGTGATTGTTTGTTCCTTTCGTCTATTTTCAGCTTGGTACCGGGTGTCCAGCAAGGCCGTAAAGTAGTTAAAAAGTCGCAAATTTGGCGCCCGGGTAGTAAAGGTCGTAAATGGTAGTAAAATTGCCTTGAAGTAGGTAGCGTAAACACGGCCTCGCGGCCTTCCGAGCGCGTGGTCTGGGGGTAATTCCGATCGCTGTTTCTTTGCTCTTTCGCTATAAAACACCAAAATGCTTTTCCTCGTTACAATGGTGTAAGTTGTTTATATGTCCGATTATTAGGAGCTGGAGAATAGCCAATGAAAGCGAAGCCATGCGTGGTCGGTTTGCGGAACGAGGGATGATTAAATACCGTCTTTTCATTGGCGGAGAACTGTAGGGTTTTAAACGGGCTTTCCCGTGGTATATATTTAGCCTTTGGCATTTAAATAGAAAGCTTTTAAAAATACTGTCAAGATGTTAAAAGATCACTTTTAACACAAAATATGTAAAATACCGGCTTAAAAAGGTGTCAATTAAAAGATCAGTTCATTTTCTATTAGAATAAAGTAATTAGCTTGGAATTAATTTTCATCAATCCTTCCGCGAGACTCGGGAAAACATGCTACAGTATAGAGCCAAGTCGCTCGGTGCGGCGCCGGCCGGGTCAATGCTCTGTGTTTTTGTCGAAATAACGACAGTTCGTCGTGTTTGAGGCGATAAAATACTGATTTGTAATGATCTCAGTCTTGAAAAAAATTAAGCTCCATATATTTGTTATAGTGATTGTACTCTGTTAATGTGGAGATGTTTAGTGCACTTGGTACTCTTTTATTGTCTGTCAAACATGGGGTTGCAGCCAGTGATTGACTTTAACAAATTTGATCAAATTTTAAACAACTACCATTTTCTTAAAAATTGACTGAAAGGTTAAAGAATGGTACCAAAATGCTCAGTGGATATAGGCCTTTCAAATGGATCAGAAAAATTTGGCATACAGCTACTTTGAAAATTTAGTTTTTGGAACCTACTTGAAGATAGTAAACATTTGGTAAACGGTCGTAAATTTGTCTGCATACTGAGTGATAAAACCAGCAAGACTTTTCAGTGAACCCTAGCCGCAGTACATGACTCCGTTTTTGCCAGTCGTGATTGTGATATAATATTCCTTCTCCTTTTCCCCGCCCCGAGAGAACGTTTCACGTGAAAAGGCGACTATAGCGGCAGGCGAAAGTGTATGTGACACCGAGGCTCGATCGGGAAAGTTGAGATCTACTTGCGCTTTCGTTACCACCCAGAAATTTGCCGGCGATAGACTGATAACGCAACATTTGCAACATGTAGGTTGTACAGTATAAACGCTGTGTCTCTGTGCAAATAAAATTTAATCATTACTCAGACTCATAACGGTGCTGCCACTTGTTTGTTTGCGGGGGGTGGTGGGGGGTTAAAAGAAAATACAAGCATCGTCTGATTTTTAGATCGTCGGGTTCGCCATCGTGACCGGTCAGTGAACCTTCGCGCGAGGCACCGGTGAGCACGGCCGTTTGTTGGGGTCACCAAAGTTCATTAAAAAGTCTGAGCGTTGTGAAGTATAGTAGCCTATAGGACCACGGAATGGGGCAGAGATTTTTATTTTTTTATATTTTTTTTTAGATACACTCGGGGGAGGGGGGGAGGGGCTGAAGGCAACACCAGAGGATAAAAACTTGTAAGCAAATTTCAGAATTTTGATTAGATTTAGAGCCTTCTGCGAAGCGCACGTTGTTGCAGGCCTTGTGTGGAATCTGGATCCTTCATACCTTGTAAGCCGTGTTATTGAAATAAAGTGTTTGCGTTTCATTTGTTGGGTGATAGTAAATTAGAATAATATTGTAGCTTTCTGTTCAAGACTGGCAGATTTTCAGTGTCACTGCCTCTTGCCCTCCCACAGTTCTTACACCTCTCACACTGAATAGGTCTACTTGAGCCATTCAAGTTATTGCTGTACTTTTAGTTTGAGCAATAATTTTTGTCTTTCACGTTCATAATATGAGTTGTGACTCCCAGACTGGTTCTGGACAGTAGAAACTTTTGTTCAAGGCCCCTACGAACGCTCAAAGCAGGATTCATTTTTTTAATACGTGTATATAATAATGAGAGGAAAATATTATAACAGACTGGATTACTTAAGTCAAACAAGACCTCCAGTGCGACACTGAGATGTTGTTGGCTGGATATATTTTATGCGCGCGCGCGCGTGTGTGTGTTGCTATATAACATGGCCTTGGAAAATGGATGACCCCCTGGAAAATTGAGAAGCCGGTTTGCCAGTCACCCTGTAGTGTACACATTAGGTCTAAATCTACCCCCCTCCCCCTCCCACCACTACCAGGGCAGTGCTACTGGCTGAAGCGTCTTTACGAACTGCCTTGATAGTTGAAGCTTGATTCCCCGTTTGGACTTCTCTGTTGACATCCATCCCTTTTCGCTCACATTATGACCTATGCAGTGGCGAGCGCCGTAAAAACCTTACTAAAACTAAATCTAGCTGCAAGCAAGCTTGCGATCATCGGTCTATCCTCCATTTTGTCGACTGGACTTTGTGTGTTGTTTTCGTCCCATATATTATGTAATAATAATATGATGCTATTGGTGGCGCAAATAAACTCCCTTTTTCGAGCTGGTGTGGGGCTTGATTTGCTGGGTAGTAATTTCGTTTCCAGGTAGTAAATTTTTTCAGGAAATATTGCTGGACACCCTGTTGGTAAAGTTTGGCCATTATTGGCATTCTCAGTGTTATAGCTAAAATGGTTTAAAAGTACAGTTGAGTCTGAGACCCATTGTCCCAAAAGAAAAGTGATCATCATACACAGTGGCATTATCATGGGGGGAAATGGTCGCTTTTAAGCACAAGGAAGCTATCCCGAAAAATGCTGTTTTGAGAAATTTGAAGATAAAATTTTTGCCCCTTGTTCAGTTTCTTTAAGAGAGTTTTCTCTATGACCTAACAAATATACACACGAATGAAACCAAGCTTCTCATTTAGGTAGGGAAATGCCCACTTTTGGTTTGGGTCTAGTTTTCTGGGAACCCCCGAAATCTGGGTTGCCCACTTGTCCGCAAAAGCAACCAAATATGCTAGGGGGGAATGGGAAGTGTCTGTTTGTCCGGGTGATTGTCTAATACAGGTGAGTGTTTCAGCAAGTTCGACTGTATAGATCTACTCGTAATATCATAATTACCCTGCCCTTATGCAGTTGCGAGCGCCGTAAAACTCTTCCTAAAACAAACATAGGGCTACACAGGTTAGTGGAAGGAAATTGTCAACTTGATGAACTTGTCTTTCCCCAGGATGATGAGGATGCATACGTGCTGAGCAAGATTGCCGATATACTCCACTCCTTCTTTGGAACGCATAAAGAGTCTTTCCTGCCCGTGTTTGAAAAGATCATGCCATATTTCGTTGAACTTTTGGTAAGATTTTTTTTTTATGCATGCTTTAAGCTTTCCTTTTTACATGAGCTTTGTTTAGAATTGTATATTGTTCTTGTTTCAGGTATTAGGTTTTGTTTCAGGTATTAGGTTTAACTTTTGGGTGTGTGGGGGTGAACTGGATGCCTGTTGTGGGGGTTTTTGTTGGTTGGGACTTTTTTTTTTTAGATTGTTTTTTATTATTATTATTTTATTTTTTATATTTTTTTTGGCAATGTGAACCACAATATAGTGGGCATTGGTTTGCTGTTCCCATATGGTTCTCAAATCATCCAACAGTGTGGGCAAGTGATATAAGAATGCTGGTAGTAGGTTGTACTTTTAAAAAGATACTTCGTTATGTCTGTGTCTGTCTTCTTTTACCATCAGTAAATGACAGTTACAGTCAGTTATACTATCATTGTGGGTTTTAAAAAATATATATAACACTCGGGTAAATTATTTAAACAATTGTGTGAAAATTGCTGTTTTGTCTGTTGGTGCTGTAAGGATTAGCTTCTCAGCTTTGGGATATTTCTTGTATTAGTTTATATTGTACAACCAGCCTCTTCAATTACCTGATAATGTTGATAGGGGTGTTAGATTCAAATTCAAACACTTTTTTTATACTGTATCGCTCAAAACCTCAGGTCATCTAGGCCTTGATGATCTAGCTTAATGTTTGTGGCGTCAGTGGCCCAGTGGTTAGGCTCTCGGACTCGCAACCGTAAAGTCATGGTTTCGAATCCTGTCTGGGACCCGGCGTTGTGTCCTTGGGAAAGGCACTATTCACAAGTTGCCCTCACTTCAGCCAGGTGGGAATGGGTACCCAGCTATAGATGGTGAAAGATCTCGTCTGTTTGTGTTTGAATGCTTAGCCAGCTGCTTGCACTGTATTCTTCCCGGGAAGCTGAGAAAAAAAATGTTTCCGAGTGTTCTATGGTCTGCTGGGGTAATAATAATATAGCGTGTAGAGCGGGGTTATGCGCTATACAAATGCTTTTTATTATTATTATTATTACCACTATTATTATTATTATAATGTTATTTCTACTAATATTATTTGTGTGTTGTGTTTCAGTTACCGGACCGGCCGTGGTCAGACAAACAGTGGGCGTTGTGTGTGTGGGATGACGTCGTAGAACACACAGGACCAGTAAGTCTATCCTTGTATTTGGGCTGCTCATCTCTCTCTCTCTCTCTCTCTCTCTCTCTCTCTCTCTCTCTCTCTCTCTCTCTCTCTCTCTCTCTCTCTCTCTCTCTCCCTCTCTCTCTCTCTCTTTTCTCCCCCCCTCTCTTTTTTATCCCCCCCCTCTCTCTCTCTCTCTCTCTCTCTCTCTCTCTTTAAAAAAATGTATTTGTTGTTTTCTAATGATCCTCTGAATACTGTTTTTTTTGGTTGTGTCCTTTGGAAAAGCACTTTACCCGTAATTCTCCTTTGGCTTGTTCCTTTTTTAGATGGACGTTCAACTTGGAGGTCCCGCCTCTTAAATAACCTAATAGTGTTGATGGAGGCGTTTAACTTGTACCAGACTTTATGCAGTTGCGAGCGCTGTAAAACCTCTACTAAAACTTATACCAGTGGGTGATTGGCGGGTGCTCTGGTGTGGTTTGCTCCTTCTTTCCTATCAGACATCTATTGTCTTGTCTCTCCTCCTTTTTTACGTGTGTTACTGTCTTGTAACGCCTCTAATCTGTGGGTGGTTGGTGGGTGCTCTGGTGTGGTTTGCTTCTTCTTTCCTGTCAAACATCTATTGTCCTTATCTCCCCTTCTTTTTTATGTTTGTTACTCTCTTGCAGGGGCGTGGCGTCACTTCCACCGGAGGTGGCGCCAAGAACAAATTTATTCACAAGGAATAGTATTACTTACTTATTACAGGCCTATAAACTGTAGACCTACTATACGCCTCTTCGTTTAATTTAAATACTAATACAGGGACACCTACTTCCATGCGAGAAGAATAGATATGTGCCGGTACAATATTTTATATAGAGAGAGATCTGATGATAAAGAACCAAGTTTGGCGCTCAAGATGCGCAAAATTACACCACATTTTAATTGTTCACACACGAAACAATAACTTCCCACGGATCAACAGAAAAGCACACATAACATTCACAGTCAAGAACGCGCATGCACTATTGCCCTCGGGGCATCTTGACATAATGACCCCATTCCCTGATTCACATGCAGTTCTGGTTTCTAGAAACCAGACAATAAAACCTATTTTTAGACAGTTTGCAACGATGCCATGTCCAGGCTAACTACCACTCCATCCCCTCCCTACCATACAGACGCCAATCCATGTCGGCCCTTTGGCCCAACAGTACCATCTTTTAGTGTGATGGGAGTACCTGTTGTAGCATTTTTGGCTTAGTTATGTTCTCGGTGATATCTCTTGTGTGTTCCGTGAAATATCTGGATGGGGTATTAAAGAAACTTTTGCTATTCTTGGAAAGGAAACCCTGTTTTCAACTGATTGAATCAAATAGTTTACAGATCATTTTGAATTATTTTGACCAGACTTCACACCTAAACAATGAACACTCAGATGGGCTCAGGCAGAGACCCTGATTCAGGTAGCTCCGATCTGGGCTCGGCACCCTCGGTGACGTCAGACGTAGGGAACGAAAGACTCGGGGAGACCGGCAACGGGAGGCTTACCCGCCCTCCTCCCACTAGCCTAAAAACCGGCGTACTTACGGATTAACACTGAATAAGAGATTTGTTTTGAAAAAAATATTGTGGCATTTGGTTAAGTTTTGGAAAATCGTATTCCTTTTTTTAAAATTCCTTCTCCATTTCAAAGGGTGGCGCCATTTGCGCTTGGAGAGCCTCACCACTGCTTGACGTAGATCTACGTAATGAATTGTGCGCTGGTCTATGGAATCTAAAGTTGCCGTATGCTAGGCTCTACACAGCAACACAACTTTTTGGTAAAAAATCGAGATGACACAGGTGTGTGCATTTGATCGAATACACAGCTCATAATATGCAGGCATTTCAGGCATTACTTGTGACTTCTCTTTATACATTACTTGGTCAGTGCCTGTAATTATTTACAAAAAAACCTCATTGTGTTTGCTCTAACGAACACTCGGATTCAACCTTCGATTATCTCAAAACAGCATTTTTCGGGATAGCGCCCTTGTGCTTAACCACTCGGGACCAGCCGCATTTTCAGGCACAACCTCTTGGGACCAGGGTTTTGGAGGGTTTTCAAAAGAATATTTAGTTTTGTGGTAGTTTGGTTACAAAGCTAAAATTTGGCACACTTACAGATCCACCTGCACTTAACAGAAATCCTCTCTGTTGGATACTTCTTTTTCCACGATTTGTCAAAAATACACCTGTTATGAGAATTTGAAATAATTTCTTTCAGCATCCATGATACAACCCTGGCTTTGTTGTTACCTATATTAAAATTAACAAGACCCTCATTCGTTGACAGTCACTCTTCTTGGGGTCATCGGAAGAAGGAATGGATCAAGTACCCGGATATGGCAATAGACATTAAAAAGAATATTGGATTGGATGACTTTTTGCATTTTTATTCTCATCACGAGTTAACTCGTGATCGGTTCTCAGGCGATGGGAAGCCATCACAAGATAACTCGTGATTGATCTCCAGTGGGTTAAGTGGGTGGTTGACGGGTGCTCTGGTGGGGTTTGCTCCTTCGTTCCTATCAAACGTCTATCGTCCTTTTCTCTCCTCCTTCTTTTTTGTGTATATTACTCTCTTGTAACACCTCTATTCTTCGGCACTTATATGACCTTATTGTGTTGCGAGTGCCGTAAAACTCTTACTAAAACTAAACTAAAACCGGTGAGTTAAAAGCGACCAAATATACACGTATCATTTTCCTGTATCCCCCAGGTGTCGTACAAGTACCGCGAGTTTTTCCTGGAGCACCTCATCAATGCCATCACAGACAAGACGCCCGAGATCCGACAGGCGGCCGCTTACGGTGTCGGAGTCATTGCAAACTTTGGCGGAGACGTCTATGCCGATGTGTGTGCTGGTGAGTGCTGACTTTCTACAAGGTTTTCCTTCTTCTTTCTTTCTTTCTTTTTTTTTCCCTCGCTCTTCGTTCTGAATTGGCCACTCGTCAATTTATGGGTATACAGCATTATTGGTGTAATTTTAAAGCCTGTTCATTTGTCTTGCTTTTGATGAGGGGAGGGGGGCATCGTCTGTCTTGAACAGAAGTCGAGATATTTGGGATTAAAGGAGGTGGAATTCATCTGTGGTAAGGTAGAATTCTGAGAAAATAGCTGCAAAAATGTTGGTGACTTTCAAAGCTTGAGTGTAGGGTAAGGAAAATCTCGAATTTCTTCAAATTCATTATTTTGATGAGTGTCTGATTTCACCACAATGCCTCATGAAATAAACCAATGTACAAAAATCTCACACTACCGATTATGTAAGTGAACAAGGTCATATATTCATTTACTATAGCTTGCTCACTTTCATCTGTCTGCGGTAAAAAAATTCTAACTCATTTATTAATTAACCATGCCCAGGAAACTTTGCATGGCGCTTCTGCAGGCCAGTGACCAAACAAAAATTTTTTATTTTTTTAAAAATCTTCACCCAGTATTTAAAAAATTTAAAAGTTTTTCTCTTTGGACACTATTAAAAACTGCTCTTTGGATGCATACACAGGATCACAAAAATAAATTAGTGCCGTAACCTTGCCGGCAAATTGCTCATTTTGAGACAGCGACTGCCCGCCCCCACATTTCAGTGCAAGCTTGAAGATTTCATCCCCCGACTGTCTAGACCTCTCCACATGAGCCTAGCAAATTACTCACCCCGTCTCTTATCCGTTAGGGGTTTGTGGTTGGCGGGTGCTCTGGGGCTGTTTGCTTCTTCATTCCTATGAAACATCTATTATCTCCCAATCTTTTTTGTGTTTGTTACTCTCTTGTAACAACTCTAATCTTCGGCTCTTAAATGGCCTAATTGAGTTGCAAGTGCCGTAAAACCCTTACTATAACTAAATCACTTTTCTTAGGCGAACGTTGGATTGTGATGTTGAGGGAAATATGTCAACTTTTTCATTCCCAGAATGCATTCCGCGGCTGGTGAGCGTGATCGAGCACCCGGACTCGAAGGCGGTGGAGAACGGTCCGGCGACGGACAACGCTATCTCTGCCGTGGTCAAGATATGCAAATACAACTGCTCCAAGGTCAACGCCGAGGAGCTGAACGGCCGGCTGGTCGCCTGGCTGCCCATCCTCAACGACGAGGAGGAGGCGATCCACGTCTACAACTATTTCTGTGATTTGCTCGACAAGTACGTGTTTTGGTTTGCTTTGGTTTGGTTTTTTATTTTGGGGGGGGGGTTTCATCCTTTCTTTGATTGTTTTTTGGGTTGTTTTTTCCTGTCTTCCTCTCTTTTTTTCTGACTTCCTTTCTTTTTTCTTTTTCCCAGTGTCTTATTTGTCATTTTGTGTTCATTGACTTTGTCAGCTGTGTTGATTTGGGGATCCACGTCTACTACATCTGTGATCTGCTCGACAAGTACGTGGGGGGCTTGTTGTTTTGTTGTTGTTGTTTTTTTGGGGTGGGGGGGTTCTGTCTGTCTTTTTTTTTTCTCTTTCTTTCTTTTTTCTTTTTTCCAGTGTCTTATTTGTCATTTTGTGTGCGTTAACTTTGTCAGTGGGTGGTTGATGGGTGCTCTAGTGTGGTCTGCTCCTTCTATCCTATTAACTTATATCGTCCTCATCTCTCCTCCTTTTTTGTGCTAGTTTGTCTCTTGTAACACCTATAATCTTTGGCACTTACATGACGCTAGTATGTTGCAAGTGCCGTAAAACACTTTCTAAAACTAAACTGTTCCCCTCTATCGTACAGAAACCACCCAGGCATTGTGGGGGAGAACGCGGCCAACTTACCCAAGGTGGTAAGCATCGTCGCGGAGACGCTGCACCGAGAGCTGGTTCAGGAGGGCACGCCCCTCTACGAGCGGCTGGTCAACATCGTGAAGCAAGTACAGGTGAGTTGGTGGTTGATGTGTGCTCTGGTGTGGTCTGCTCCTTCTTTCCTATCAAACTTCTGTGGTCCTCATCTCTCCTTCTCCTTTTTTTGTGCTTGTTACCCTCTTGTAACACTTCTAATCCTCGGCACTTTTATGACCTTATTGTATTGCAAGTGTCGTAAAACTCTTACCAAAAAAAGTACAGGTGTGTGGGTTGTGGATTTAGGATTTTTGCTTTTGTCATGGTCGGGTGGGAGAGAAGGGATATGGGAGCTGTTTTCATTAATACTTGTTCTCTAAATGATTGAGAGGCATGATCAGAGTTGTTCCATTTTGTAAATTATTTTTGTTATTTTTTCTTTTCTTTTCTTTGGTTTTTGTTTTGTTTTTTTGTTAGTGTTTGAGCGCTACATCAGCTGCTTGCACTGCATGCTTCCCAGGAAGCTGAGAATGTTTCTGAGTGTTCTGTGGTCTCCTGGGGTAACAATACTCAATAGTGTAAAGCGCATAGAGATTGCTGTCAAGTGGGGATAAGCACTATACAAAAATGCTATTTATTGTTATTATTTTATTATTACTTTTTTTTGTAATGGTTATTATTTTTGTTGTTATCATTATTGCTCTTATCATTTTTATTGTTGTTATTTTTGTTATAATTATTGCTGTTATTATTTTAATTGTTACTGTTATTGCGATGCTTATTTTGTGTCCCCCAGTCCAACCCGGACGTGCTACAGGTGTGTGTGGCTCAACTGACAGAGCAACAGCGACAGGCGCTCAACGAAGCCCTCACCCCCGGCAAATGATGACCGTTGACCTCCAGTTGGCCCGCCCACGCCACCGCCCAGCCTCTCACTCTCCTACTGGGCCGCCTCAATGACTGATCTGTGCTGTCATCGCGGGGAGCTGGAGATGTTGACCGCCGTGGTCATTCTGTTTTCACACGCTCTCTCGCTCTCTCGCTCTCTCTCTCACGCACACGCATGCACACACAAAAACACACACACACACACACCCTCTCTTTTTTACACACACGCACACACACACACACACACTCTCTCTTTTGCACCCGCCCGTACACACACACACACTCTCTCTCTCTCTTTTTGACACACACAAACCCTCCTCCACCGCCTCCTCCTTTTCTGGATGGCCGACTCCGTGGTGTGACTGTTGAGAGAGACATTCTTTGTAAAGCAGAAATTTTATCCTGGAAATTGCTGTACTTTCAGATACTTATACTATTATTGTATGCTTGCAGACAGAGTATTTGATTTGGGGGGGGTGGGGGTGGCGTTGGTTGTGAATCGATCATAGAACTAACCGGAGCGCGCGTGGCACCTTTGATCGTGTGTTCGAAAGATTAGCAAACGTTCAGGCCAGTTGTAGAGAAACAAGAGTCTACAGAACTCGTTTTAAATGGTAAAATGCCTTCCCTATTGTCGTTTTTGCATCCGCAGAAGAACCTTGGGGGGGGAAATTGGCTTGCTCTCCACCATTGGTTTCTGTTGGGGCGTGCCGTTGGCCTCGCAGACAAGTTGAAAGTGGCTTCCCATTCTGCGGTCATTTTGAGGATGTTTTGGGCTCAAATTATCAAAATTTCGAAGTTTATTGCGGAGCAGAAAAGCCCGCGTGAAAGGTTTTTTTAATTTAAAAATCGCTTGCCAGGATAATTTAAAATGTAATCTTTAGGGTGCGATAGATTCTTTTGAGTTTGTTAATAGAGGCGATTCTCGGGGGGGGGGGGGGGGGGTCTGCATACAGCTGCCTGGTGTTTGCAGTGGGTGGTTTCGTTTGATTGCTGCATAATACCGCAGTGTTGGAGGTTTGGACAGAAAGAGTATCGTGCGAGTACACGTTTCCCTGCAGACTTTGGGCACGCGACTGTTTGCCTGGGGTGGGGCGGGGCTGTTTGGAATCGGCGCGGCACGGGCAAACTATGCACATGCTTTTGTGTCATGTGTCGTCATCATCATGTGTGTGTTTATTTGTCCTGGACTTGTGTGTGTCAGTGTGTGTGTGTGTGTGTGTGTGTGTGTGTGTGTCAGTGTGTGTGTGTGTGTGTGAGTGTTTGGTTTGAGAGATTTGGATACTGATTCCCCCTTGAAACAGATTATACTGAATTGCCTGATGATGAAGTTTTCCTTGTTTATTGGTGTGATGATGATTGCAAATTGTTTTGGGCTTTTGAAAAAAGAATTATTTTGATTGTGGCAAAGTGCTTTAAATGTCACTACTAATCTAATCTGGAGGCCCTTTCTCGACTGTTGAGCCCGCCCATGTCGTTTACGGACGCTCGCCTTTCTCTCCGATGTGCGGGGCGTGCGCACGACTGTCATTGACATGCAAGAGTTTCGCTGACTTGTCTATAAATAGATGTTGCAAAAGTGTAAATAGCCAAAAAAAAAAAGAAAGAAAACTGACTGCGTAGTGATTTGACAATACACAGGTAATAATAATGATGAGTTCTGTTTTCTGCAAATGTGAAATACAACCAATGAAGTGTACATATGTGATAAAAGACAGCCCACTCGCCAGAAGTGTATAAAAATGATGTGTTTACTAGATTGCATGTTGTGAACGACTCACCGCTGTTTGTTTGGGGGTTTTTTGTGGTTGGTTTGTTTTTTAAAAATATATTTAGGATTCCTTTTTGAGAGTGATGTTTGCATGAAGTTGTTGCAACCGGTTCGTTTGTGCGTCTGGGGATGGATGCTTGGGTTTTTTTGTTTTGTTTTTTCGTGTTTTAATTGGTTGGCAAACAAATGAGTGCTTGTTTTTAGATTTTTATTCCACTTTTAAATTGTGCCTGCTTTGTTGATGCACAGCATGGGTATTGGTAGCTTGATAAGACACGGAGAGGAAAAAATATTGGCAAAATATATATATATATAACACCTGCGTTTCTGGATATTATTTTGATTATTTCTCTGTACATTGATAAAATGCATGTACGGTATCGCAGAATACAGATCAGGCCTTGTCATGGTTCGGTTCATTCATCAAAGTTTCTGCCGCAGGGTTCAAGGGAAGGGGTTTTTTTTCCTTGTTCTTAGCGGTGGAATGCTCATACGTTTTGTTTTTTTTTGTTTGTTTTTGGAGGGGGTTGTGTTTATTTTTGGTTTTTGACAAGGTATCAGGTTGAGAAGTCATGGGATTTGTCATCACTTGCTGAATAGACGGGGTAGTTTTAGGATCAGTCTTTTTTTTTAATTTTTAAATTCCTTCTCTAGCTTTAGATTTTGAGGGGCATTTTTTTTTTAAGGTTTTTTTTATTTTGAAAAAAAATTTGGGGCCGTCAAGGCAAGGCAGTTGCAATGTTGACATGAAGTTCTCAGTAATCGCTGTGGATTGCATATTATATTATCTTGTGGGCAAGGATCTGTGGAAGATTCTAGCATTTTTCTATCATAGTCTCTCTCTCAACTGTTTCAGCTTCTTTTTTTTGGTCACCGTATGATGACTCTGTGGTTGACGACTTCTGTTCCTTCCAAGTTTGGATTCTGTAAGTGGAAGTTCTGCATACAGACCCGTCTTTTGTTTGACCTTGAATTCTGTGGGTGGTTGGTAGATGTCCTGGTGTGGTCTGCTCTTTGGTTTTGGGTAGGGGGG